CAGAAATAAATCATATATTGTAATGTATAAATTATCGTTTATTATATATATAGGCTTATATAATATATTGTATATATATGCCTTACACACACACATATATATATATATATATATATGTATATATATATATACGCCTTATATGCCTATATAAATCATATAATATATATAATACTATATTTTATATAATATATATCTATATATATATATGTAAATGTAGTATATATAAAGTATTATATTGTTATATGTATACAATATTAAACAAACAGAAATAAATCATATATATGTATCAATTATTGTTTATAATATATATATATAATAATAATATTAATAATAATATTATTAATAATAATAATAATAATAATATTAATATTAATAATATTATTCATATATCACTGCTCTTGGAAACGATAATCCAGAGAAACCCTGTTCCAATGACAGTAATGTTCAGGCTATTAACCTACAGTATAAGCTTTTCTTGTGATGCCTGTGTTGGAATCGCATTAACGTCATGGCATTAACATAAATAGAGACGTGAAATACGTAATGCTGATAATGGCAGTATTTAAAACATCTTAAACCAGCATACTGGGATATCACACTTGCCAATTAAGAGTCAATTGAAGTACATACTACAGATCACGTGACACAAACAACCATTACAGTGAAACTTCAATATTTGTCAATTTAAAAATTAATAGGCAAAGTATAATTTATCTTGATGAACCGCCTTGACATACCTTTACACAAAATAATCGATCAAAATTAATACAGGACTTTGACATGATTAATACGTTTAAATTTGAGCAACCTTGATTATTATCTGTCGAATTAAATTATATTTCAAAATTTTAATACATATTCTCGGTATCATAAATACATATGTCGTATATTGATATATGTATATTGTGTTGGTATTATGCTTTCATAGAATCATTACTAAGGTTTGTCTATATTCATCATTATCATAATTATTGTAATTAAAATTGTTTGCTAGCAACCCTGGCTGACGCTTGACCTCGAGTTGTCATCTTCAGTCTACGCTGTCATTAGGGCCAGTAGCTACAAAGTTGCATACAATGTATTTAAGATTAAGAGTAATAATTATGGTAATTATGATCATAAGATGATGATGATGATTGATGACGATAATGATGACGATGATGATAATTGATGATGATGCTGAATGTGGCCCTCATGACAATAATGAAGGCAATGATCTTCCGAGCAGAACGAGTCACATACGACAGGTTTGGCGTCTTTCATTTGTGTTACAATTCCTTCTCTTCCACAGTTTATATTATATTGTATCAATTATTCTCTTTTTGATATTTGCTAAAAATTCTTTGTTAATGGCAATAACCTTAGATTATCCCCTCTCTGTTTCCAATGTTCATACTCTATTCACGACGTTACTCTTCGACATTCCCCTATGTTTTATTTCCAAATGGTCAGCACTCCCGACTAAATTAAATTAAGGAAAATTATATCCGTAATAATGCGCCATTGAATAGAAGAAGGTAAATTAAAATCATCAACGTTTCTGATGAGGATACAGAATATTGTCGACTGCAGAATCAACTGCGTGTATTTTTGGAGTACGATTAACTATAGTAATTCAGGAAGGCTTTTGCAAAATCTCAATGCTTTGAAGAAAATAACTAGTACCTCTGATCCGAAGTAAGTGGTTTAATATATATTTCTTTTTTAATCAGCCACATAGTCTGCTAAAGTGTGTAGACAACGGGTTATGGAAGGAAACATGTGCGTCTTTGCTCATCACATATTTAACTTATTGCAACAAGCGATAGCCGGGAGTATTTTTATGTGTCTTAAAAGACATCGCGACGAGCAAGCTGGATTTTTTTTAATCGTCAACATTTGTAATATTGTTCCACGTTTGAAATCAGAAAATCAATACTCTGATTAAATAAATGTGCCGTGACTGTAGCTCCGAAATATTAGCATCACCAAGGTGAATTAATCATCACGTGTGACAGCGGGAAGAGCGCCTGACGACTCCGACTCCTTGCTATGCCGAATTCCGTAGAAAAAGTACACCAATAAACCTGAAATATACAGAAATAAGTCACATATGATAAATTTGCTAATCTAATAGTTTTCATGGTTAACTCAGAATGATCCATACTGATAAATCGAATTACATTTCCAATTAATAGTAATGGTGTCATATATAATAACAACTCATCAGGTATTATAAATCGATACGTAATACATATAGAATATATAATGAATTGAGTACATGTGTGAAATCTTAAGTAATCATTTTATACGTACGATTACCCTAATATATTCTACTTAGCTTTTTATATGTCTTAAATTATGTCTTGCCAAGGAAAGAAAATTTTCATAAAACATATTGTATAATTATCAGTATCAGTAAGATTGGCATCGAACAGTTATAAACTTACCTACGACAAGCCAAACGAAGAATCTTATCCAAGTCGCTAACGTCAGGCGAAGTGTTAGGTGAATGTTGCAGAACAAGGCAAGTAATGGAAGGCCAGGTATAAGAGGGGCTTTGAAGGCAAGTTGCATTGTATTTTGAGGTTGTCTCCAGATAAACACTGCACAAATTATAGATGCTGTAAGTAGTATAGCCAACAAAAACAAATACCACCAAACACCATTAATGACTTCTGATTCGGCAAACACCAATATACTATTCATAGCAAAGTGAAGTAAAATGGACGCAATCGTCAACCAAAACACCTTTGTATATGTGACTTCAGATGGTCGCTGTTGCTCAAATGTATGATTTTTACCTACAAGTCTTTGTACATCGTCTGACTCACCGTCGGCGAATGTAGTTGTTATTGAGAGTTGTCTTTCGTCACTGTCGTCGCCACTGGGTGATGCTGCGTTTGTGTACCTTCTGGAAAGGCCCTCTCCAAGATCGATTAGGCTTGAATCTTCACGAGGGAAGACGTTGAAGTTGCTAGATTGTTGTTTGTTTAATCCAATGTGGTCTGGTTTATAGCGTAGCAATAATGTACTGATGACAACAAGACTGTATGACATCAGAGTTCCTATTGACATCATTTCTACGAGCTGTTGAAGATTGAAGACTAGTGCCAAACAGGCAGTCAGCAGTCCACTGACTATTGTGGCGTTTACAGGAACATTTGTTCTATAATTAACCCTACCTAGAAACTGAAACAAGAGGCCGTCTTTGGATATGGCGTAGATGATCCGCGGTAGGGGGAAGATGGATCCCAGCATCGACGATGTCAGAGCAACCAGAGAACCAATGGCGACTACGTACTTGGCGGCGTCGAAGCCATTCTGACTGAAGGCCTGAGCAAGTGGAGCATATAAAGCCAGGTCTTTATAGTTTACCATCAGTGTCAAAATCGTAGATACCAGAATGTAGACAATCGTGCACACAACCAACGTCAATATGATAGAAAGTGGAATTGCTTTACCGGGATTTGTTGTTTCCTCTCCAGATGTTGCAATTACATCAAAACCGACGAACGCATAGAAGCATGTTGCTGCACCTGCAATAACCTGCGAAAAGAAGTACGAATGTACCATTTAGCGTAAAGTTCCATTACGAAAAAGGTGTCTAGTAGTTTTAACAGCACACGACTATGTATCATATAAACAATGAAAACAATGATTACATTCGGCTAACATCGTATAAAGATAAACATAATATTGAGTTAGTAACGCTTATAAACAGGTAGACGATAGTACGCGAGTCTTGAATGTTTGATTCTAGGCATTAGTCTTTGATATAGTCAGACGCAATTGATACTACGATAGGCCTATGACTTATAAAATACTTTACTTACGCCAGGAAAGCCGTAAGGAAAAAATCCTCCGTTTGATGTCCAGTTGTGGATGTTGGCATACGGGGCTCCAGCGATGATTATGAAAGCAACAACCGCCAAATTGATTACAGTAAAAATGAACATCGTGATCGAAGATAACTGCACACCAATCGCAACTACTGCAGTCATAATTAGCAAGAGCACGAAGGCTAGAAAATCAGGGTAGTCTCCAAACCAGTTTGACTGGAACTCACCGATTTCGCTCCGAATCGTCTCGCTGATGGTGAGATTTAGCATTGCGTCGAGATACTCACTCCAGGCTTTGCCAACACCAGCTCCCGCGATAATATTGTCCATGATCATACTCCAGCCCGTTACAAATGCTATTAATTCGCCAACGACCACATAGGAGTATAAATATGCAGATCCGGTTTTGGGAATTCGGGCACCAAATTCGGCGTAGCAAAGACCTGAAACACAAATTATTACACGTAAAAACTTTTTATTTTCATCAATGGTTTTATTCATTCATTGGTTCGTTAAATAATATACTGTAGGCCTACTGCCATCTCAAAGACCTAGATAACAAAAACACATAAGTTATTAGCTTTACAAATGAATTAATTAATTAATTAATTAATAAACGAAGTAAAGAACTAACGAACGAACCAATAAATAGATAAATGAGTTATTGATTGAATAACCGAGCGAACAAAAACGAGCGAACATTACCGAACGAACAAAATCAATAAATCAGCAAACCAACGTGCGATCGAACGGTCGAATAATTGAAAGAACGAAGAATCACCGAACGAATGAATAAACAAGCAAACGAACAAAATAACGAATGAACAAAAGAACAAACCTAACAAATGAATAAATAAATTATGTTAGACTTCGTAACCCCAACAAAGCCTCTAAGCGCTTTACATTATTGTCCCAAGTCATTGGATCAAGCACATAATAATGGAACACATACTCAGCTCCCTGGGGAGGATTCCATAATGTTGCAGCTGATACATCAGCGCATTTTGTGTTTGAGCCTACAAGGTACCCACTGATACTCCTGGGTGGAGAGAGACAGCCGTAGGTAAAGTGCCCTGCCTAAGGACACAAGATTGAAGGGATTGAACCTCTGACCTCAAGGGTAAGAAGCAGGACCGCAACCGCTGCGCATGCGCCAAACCGCTCTTACAAATGAGATTTTATGTAAAAAAAAACGTTTACAAAAGGTATAAAAACATTTATGAAACAGACATATAAAGATTCTTAAAATGTAAAGCCAATGACAGGGGAGGGTTTAGGGGGCCGGGTCGGCCCCGGCCCCCCTTTTGAGAGGTAAAAAAAAAGGGAAAAAATGATAGCCCAGAACGCCTTTAAATGTATTTTCGGGCGTCTAGAACACAACAAATTTCAAACCCCCTAGGACTGTCTTGTCTCGATCTGCCCAACTTTGCCCCCCACCCCCACCTTTTGAACATCTCTGGATCCGCCGCTAAATGACATTTATGGATATAATAAACATAGAGTCCATTATGAATAAGCAAAAAGATTGCTCCGGGTGTCACTATGAATAGTTAATCACTGAATGAAACATGCAGTACTCGAGAGAGTCATAACGAAGCTTTCCTGCACACAGTGGATTTTGTAATGTGAATAATAATGCAGTAATGTAGGTCTGGGTATGTGCAGGTGATATTTTTGCAAACACAAGACGAATTATTATATCATTCTCGAACGTTGTCAACGTCAGAAAAATAAATCGTCAACACAGCGTTTCACCAACATTTGCAACGTTATAAATACATAATGATATAGATTGCGATTTAAAAAAGCACGATTTGATTAAGAGGTACAACGTTATTATAAGTTACAGGATCAAATAATAGTCTTACGTTACACAAAACAGAAATCTTAAAACATAATAAAGAGCCTAACTGACATAGAATAATAGCCAGACAGAATAATTGTCACAGTGGCCGTTGCCAGCATGGGGTCCGGGGAGCACAGAACCTCTCAGTCCGAGATCCTGGCTTCTCCGTAGGAGAAAAAGTATCATTCCTTCAGCAAACATCATCAGTCTGTGAGTGTTATTTTCATACATTTCAGTAGCCTTAGGGAGTACAGTTGCAGTTGTTTTAGTCGGAGAAAAATATTTACAACAAAAATTATGATATATTTTTATGAAATATCAATCTACAATAAAATTTCCATAATGACAGTTCGTATAAATAGACACATTAGCCTGGTTCACGTTGAAATTTTATCTAAATATAGATTCACTTAACTAGTTAAAAGTTTGTAACTAAATTCATTCGCTTGCGTCATGTGTGGGTGTTGACACGATGAGGTTCGAATGCACCCTAAAATACCTATGGAAACAAGCCCGGGTAAAATATATGTTCATAAAGGTCTTCCTGGTGATTAAGATAACCTGCACATTACTTGGGCTATAAATTGTCAGCCCAACAATATAGAAAATTAAGAGTATCAGCGGTAGTTTTTTTTTTTATCGATTTTTCTTGGCTTGGACCAACGAGAAGATATGATGAAGAGAAACATGTGTAGTAAATTTAAGACAATATGAAAGAAGATGGAAATGAGGAAGGGCTGGTTTAAAAGTCAGTTTTTCAGTGCATGGATATAGGCCTTGCATTCAGAAGCCTCTAGAACATACTAGCACCCCACAAAACAAGGACAAAATTGTAGGGTATAATCCGAATAAACACCTGTGGTTGACATTAAGTGATTGACTTTGAACATTATTATAAAGGCCTGTTTTCTTCAACGATAAGGATAACGATAAAAAAGCTAAAAAGCGATTGTTCATATAGAAAACAAAAGAAATAAGAGAAGTTTTTTACGCTAGGACGATTCGATAACGATTATCGTGTATACGATAACAAAATATTTTTTAAAATCAAATCAGATGACGTCATAATCACGGAAAAACGATAAAATCGTTGCTACTACTACGATTTTAATGTTTTCCATGATTATGACGTCATCTGATTTGATTTGTCAAAATATGTTGTTATCGAATAACTGATAAATCGTTATTGAATCGTTCTAGTGTAAAAGCTTCTTTTATTTCTTTTATTTTTTATATGAACAATTGCCTTTTAGCTTTTTTTTTTATCGTTATCGTTGTTAAAGTATAAGCAGGCCTTTAGTTTTTAAGTCTGCGTTGCTGATTCTTTTATATATTTATATACTTGGTATTTTAAAAAGATTATGCTTGAAGTCAAAGCCTTGTATTTTCAGATTAACAAGGAAAAGTATTTGATTTTGACAAATGATAGCTGAATGGCTAAGCCACCTGCCTTGTGGGGTTTTTATGTACTTGTACTTGAACCGACCACAGAATATGTCGAAAAAGGCGACAGAAGGATTACATTTACCTGTATGATTAATTTTATTATTTCGTTCTACTATGCAGTCACTTGCTATTCTCATTAGTTAAGTCGTGGAACACGTTTTCGGTTTGAGTCTCGTATCTACTCTATAATACATTTCTGCAAGCCTCACCTGTATAGCCACTGACTGCGTTGCCGATAGTATTTTTTAAAGGAAAAACATATATTATAATAGCTACGATGGTGTTTTTAGTAGTATTTATAACCAAAAAAAATCTGCCTTTCACCTTACACGGACAACGGAATAATTTTCAATCTTAACCATGATAAAAGTTGTAAAATTGAGAAACATCTTTATTTTACAATATCAGGTGAGGTTTTTCACGGTAGTCATGCCTTTGCCTATATTATGCTAGGCCTAGTTAATGACCTGTGTATTCTAATACGAAAATATTGATTTGGAGTCGTGCCTTAAAGTAGGGCGTGGAATAATTATTTGCAAACCGCGGCCATCATCATCTTCCGCAATGACATTATTACATAGGCGACATTATTACATAAGCAACATGTAGAATACTTTTCGTCTGTCAATTAAGTATAATGATCAATTACAGACATGTAGTGTCATACGTACTAGAGGCCATTATGTTCATTGAAAGTATATCTAACGTCTAATGATTATCCCCAACCAGGGGTGGCGCCAGCGAACTTTTCTTATAACAGACAAATAAATAATAAGCCTGTCGTTCCTATGTAGGGGCCTACTTTGCATAGACCTGGAAATTGGCTAGTAATGTTTTAAGATTTTTTTTGTAGTAAAAACAGCACAATCGGCGAAAATGGAATAGCTCCGAAGCAATTATATGTTAAACTGCAACAACGACGAACGCGTCGCCCGAAGGATCGTTTTCAACGACGATTCCCCCAGAAAGAGCTCGCATAGAGAGCGGATAAAATGTGCCGCCCGGTCGTCGGCGGACGCACTGTGCATCTGGGGGTTGATTTAACAATTATAAACAAAGATGAGAGATTTTCCAACTATATTGAAATTAAAAATCAATCTTAAGCTTCCTCAACTGTAACCACGTTACCTTAACGAGTTCTGTTATTGTCCTTAAAGAGTGTCCAGGGAAACTTGGTGTTACATTGGTGAAATTAAGTACTATACACACAAACGCCTGCATTATCTCTTACCTACATTTTAAAACAGGTTGCTAGAATCTGTTACACGTAAGAAATGCTGTATTAATACTATAAGTTCATATTTATTCCCCGCTTGAGAACTTGGTGTTATAATGCCTTCAGTATAGTAATAGGCCTAGTAGTGACATTTACGAATATTTTAAACAATAAATCTTCAGATTTCAATAATAAAGATACAATTTTGACATTTCGTCCACCTCCGTCGATTTTTTTGTCCATCTAAGGTGTTATTTGCTAACAAACGAACATTGCATTAGGTCATAATATCTACAGCAATTCATTATTGTAGTTTCCTCGTCTTGTAAATTGGTGTACATATCATTAAAATGTTAGTCTCTAGAGAATGAACCTCGGAAGCGAAATTGGAACGAGGTATTATAGTTCCAATGACCAATTATAATGGTGATGTTCAATTTATTATAGTTGACGCACTTACCTCTTCAGCCATGATGGTCGATGCTATGCAAGTAAAATATAATGAAATATAATACAAAACTTTAGGATGTCCTTATTTTAAAACCCATTCACTTACTTTCGCCATGTTCGTTAACGCAAACGAGCACAGCCAAACCATCTCAGATAAAACGCAAAACCTGATTTAATGATGTTTATATTTCAAAATGTATGTCCCAACGTAATTATGAGGAAAATTTCATCAGTTGCCTGGATCAGACGCGATAAAGAAAACATAACAATGTGCGGAGGTGTGATATTCAAAACGTCACAAAACTCGAATCGATTACTGACTGATTATTTTTAGTATGACCGTCATATAATTATTAGAATTATAATTAAATGTTTATTTAGTATACAGGCAATGCAGGTGGTCAAGGTAGTCACAATACATAACAAACAATATGTCTTTAAAAACATTCGATATTTTACATAAATAAACATAGTCATTACCCTCATGTTTTCTATTATTACGGTCTATTATTGATGTATTATTGTGATTATCATCATCATAATTATCACTATCATCATTATCATCCTCGTCATGATTAATATTGTCATCGTCGTCATCACCATAATCATAATACACATCGAATATTAAAACCAGTCTAATAAAAATTGCATTCAAATAAAATTACAATTATACATAATTGACATTGCAGCAGGTGTATTTCCATTATCGGGAGGCTTACGTAAACGTCTTGAAATGGTTAACTTCATAGGCTTGCCTTTCCCGATGTGAAACATTTGCACAATTTATTGTTTTACAAAATTTTAATTAAATCTCTTAGACACTGACATATTGATTTACACTAGCTTGTACCAATACTGTGACACAGATGATCTAACCCTAATAAAGCGGTTGATAGAAAAAAAAAAACACCGCAAAATGATTTAAAAATTTGCTTGATGTCAGTGGATACAGTATTTTATTAGAATAAACGCCGTTTTTAATTTACGCCCTCTCCAAGGCTCATTTGGATTAAACGCCTCCCTCGAATAAACACCCCACCCCCACCTAATGACTGTAAACAACTAATGGAAACAACATCATTCTAAAAACATTTTATTAATTTTCTATTCCAGTAGAATTTAATATTTTCTAACCGGGTTGGGATCAGTAAGTCTTTATAATCAACACATTTTTACGGTAAGTAGTCCACATTTGCAGTGAAATCAAGGAGCGATGATTTTAGTTATTATATCTATCCATTTTACACACACACACAAAACGCCTCCCTCAAATAAACGCTTCCTCAGAAACCTTCTCATCTATATCGCCAAAATGGTTAGAAATTCAGTGTGGATATTGTAAAATTATCCCTGTATAATCAGCCCTGTAGCATACTCTTCATTTTCCAGTATTTCATTTAGAGAGTAGTTAAGACTATGGATAGGAATAAAGAGGACAAAACGAAGCAGACTATGGCACATTATTGGCAAACGCAAATAATGATAAATTCTTTAATCAAAATTATTTAACTAAATATCGCTCTCGTGTGAATGTTACTCTTGATCTTGATGTAAACATGGCATATTGTGTGGACACGCTAAGAAGTGTGAATGTTTACAACGATAACAAAAAAAAAATAGT